CGCAACTCACGGATCTGCTGCTCCAACTCCTGGATGCGCCGCTCTTGGGGCGATTTCATCTAAACGCAATGTATGTTTTTTAACTCTTTTATACAAAAAGGATATACTAAATGGATACAAAACGTACATCAAAAGCTTCTTTAAGTGCTAAATATTTCTTCATAATGATGTCCAAATCCCGTTGCTTGCGCGTGAGCAACAGCGACTTGCGGTCATACTTCTCCTGCAGTTGTTCTATCTCTTTCTCTCTCGCGGCCACCTTGCCCATGCACTCCTCTAGCACGCGCTTGTTGTGCGCCTGCCGGCTGCGGTGCACCTCGATGTCCAGCACGATCTTAGCGTGCTGGTTCTCCATTCCAGTTAGTGTCATCTCCTAAAATACGTATATATTTTGTTTAAATGACAAGTATCTGTTAGGACAGTTAGATTAGTAACTAACGTCGTTAAATTAATAAGGAAAAGAGATGAGTCCCGCGGGCATATCTTCTGTACAAAATGATATTGCTATCTCTTTTTGCTAGAAAGAACACATCTTGATGAAAGGCACAAAAGTCAATCATAGTCTGGAAGAACACATAGACCTTACTAAGTTTTATATTCCGCTCGAACCAAGACAAAAGCTATATCTATTTTTCGGAATTTCACTTACTTGTTTCCTAGACATTTCCCTCATCTTTTTAATGCCGTTGGCCATGGCCTCCACCGCTTTATCATTCAGCAAGCACTCTTGAAGATTCGATAATATCTCATTCTCTAATTTCAACTTCAGTTCAGTTTTATGTTGTAAATCCTTTTCGGTAGTTCTTAGTATATTCTTCATTGTTTGATTCTCCTGTTTAACAAATTCAATTTAAATAAAGTAACTGTACATGATTGCTAAAGAGAATAAACTAGATATATTCTTAACTACGTTACTTCAGAATGGTATTAATTGGCACCAAAATTAATCAATCCATCAGAGTTGGTCACAAAGAGACAATCATTGCAACTTTTAACGCTTCCATGTATAAAGTTATTGTGTATAAAAATGCATCGATTATTCAATTTTATTAAAAAACAATTAAGTGTGTTACCGATTTCACAAGTTCCTGATCTCTCTCCGTCATCTGAATAGACTCTGTGAGCTCGGCTATCTGCAACTCCAAGGCATCTCGGCGCGACTGCTCAAACTCCACTACAAACATTTGTATATAATGCATGCATCCCGTCATTTTGTATTATGCCTTATTTTTATTTATACATATAATAATATTGAAGTGTCTGTTTGTAACATCAAAGGATAAATTCCAGATTTCGGGAAGATGATGTATCTGCATTGCTGATAACGAAAATCGCATTAGATTTTTGTTTGTCTGTCTGTTCGCAAGCCGCGTTTCTTCCGGGTAACCTCCGAAACGGCTGGGCCGATTTCGATCGGACTTTCAGTGAAGGGTAGCTGACATAGACGGGCATATTATAGGCTTCTTTTTATCTTAATATTGCGTAGACGAAGTCGCGGGCAACAGCTAGTAAATAAATAAACTTACAGTATTTGGTTGCGGCGGCGTTATCGTAGTTGATCTTGTCCTTGTTCATTGCAATCTCCTTGCTTCTGTTCATCTCCTCGATAGCGACTTTCTTTGATATTTCCAGATTGTTAAGTAACGTACGATAGTTATCTTGCAGCGCTCTGAAAATTGTAAAAATAATTATATTACGTTGCTCCTGCAGATTTTATCAAATGTAAATAAATACTCTAACACCTCCATTAAATCCACGATTGCTTATTCTATGGCAGTTGCAGTCGTCCTGGTAGATTATTATTTGCTGAGGTAAGTTAAGCGCGAAGAGAAGAGTCTTAAATAAGTAATTAGTTTAATGAATATAGTCAATAACCTATAGTCATCCCGCACGGAGTCGTACACCCTGTCGCGCTGCTGTATGTTGACAAGAACCGAGTTCCAGAGGCTGACCAGCCGCCGCTTGTCTAACTCCAAGTCCTCCAGCTCGGCCGCGTACGCAGTTACCTGGTTATGTGGGTTCAGATCTGTCAACTTCTGGAATACTATTCTACGTCGCTAAAAACAACTCGATAGCAATATCGTGAATTGACTATGACTTCTTTGTAATGAAATTGATTTAACTATATAGAGTATAGTTAGAGTATAGTATAGTACATTATAAAGAGAAAAGATTTGTATTTTTGGATTTTTTATGTATTTGATTCACGCAGAATACTGGGCAGATTTAAAAATTCTTTGACCATGAGAAAGGTAATTTATTTTTTAGTAACATAAGCTATATCTTGTATTATTTTTTAATTTCACGTGGGCGAAGTCGCGAGCAACAGCTAGTAGGATATAAATTTGAAAAACCTTATCGTTAACTTGTTCCATCTCAGCATTCTTTATCTCCATCTGCTTCTGGAACAGCTCCAGCTTGGACTCCAGCTTCCATACCTCGTTGCTTAAGTTGTAGATAATCATATCCTGAAAAAAGTAAACATACAACAACCGAAATGTTCTAATTTTATTATTTTTTAAATTGCTCGCTTGCTAACCAATTGTCTCTTCTCATCCGCTAGAGCTTTCTTTTCCGTCTTCATTTTCTCTGACATTCGCTGATTGACAGTCAGATCTGATTCCGTTTCATCTCTCCAGGCCTCCAGCTGTCGGCAGAGTGTCGTCAGAGCTTCAAGCTCCTCTGTGGCCTCTCGTTCTAGAATATGACATCGGACGACAAAAGTAACGTCAAAAAACGACATGAGTAACACCAGAAAGACGTCAGTAGATTTGAAACGACGTTACCGACAGCATATTACTAGTTATTAAAGTGTCAGTTGTAAGGTGACATAAATATTTACCTTGTATGGCATTCGAGTCCAATTTCTCACGGGCCTGTTTGTATTTCTCAGTGGAAACGCGAACACGTTCCTCGGAAGCTAAACGTTCCGCTCTCTTCGCCGCCAACGTCTGCTCGTACTCTCCAATAAGGGCCTTTGAAATATTGTATTAAAGGGAAACTCATAAAAAGTACCTTGTACCCAAAATTTATTTTTATAAAAAGTCATGCAGCCTTAAAAATAAACGGTGTATAAAATTAAACTTAGGAATGAACTGAGTAAGTTTATTAAGGCGCGTTTATTTGTAAGGCTGATACAATTTTTGTAACATTTTAGTTACTACTCGAGTTTGTCTACATTTCTACATTTTTTAAGTTCGTAATTTGGTAATATTGTTAAACAGATTATGTCTACGTAAATATAAATTTATTAAAATAAGTGTTTTAGAATATAACGTACTCTTTGGGCGTTGGTATCGTGATCATCTCTGTAGATTGTCTCGAGGTCCTTGTCGTATGCATCTTTGCTTTGTCTAAGTTCGTCTTTCTGAAAATAATACTTTTCTTGAATTCTCAAACATTTCATTGACGAAGATTATTATAGTAACATTTGAACTGTCGGAACACCTACAAAGAAATTTCTTGGCGTCTCTTTCACTCTCCACGAAAAACAGATAAATATATTAAATAGTTGTACATACCAGTCGTTGTATTTCGTCAGCGGCGATCTGGTTTTCCTTTTCGAGGAACCGCTTTAATGTATCTTGGAACTTCTGCATGAGAGGATGCGTGGCCTCGAGCACGGCGGGCATGGCGCCCATCACGCGCTTGCTGCGCCATCTAGTATAATAAAGATACACCTATTTATATCAGCCCTAAAATACGATTTTCTAGCTGTTGCCTTCATTTATTATCAAACTTTTTTATATAAGTTAACAGTTAGAACCAACGTAAAGAGAGAGAGAGTAAGAGAGTATTTAAAGATATCGGCTTCGGATGATCAGATTATACATGGACTGCTATTTGCAGTCTTTCTTTTTGTCAGATTTTAACCGTTTGCTTCAAATTTAGGTTTCTTGGCGCCGTTTAAGACTATTTGTTTTATTAACACGTTAAAACTCAATGCTTATTTCTTTGAATACTAACTCATCGAAAACCTCTCTGCCGGCTCTGTTGCAGCGGCACTGGTCCACTGGGCAGCGACAACAAGAGCACTCGTCTTCCGTCGCTGGCGGCACTGTGTCGTAGCACTCACATACCGCGGACTAAAATCGTCACAAAATTAACATGAATACGTACTTATAATTGTTGGTAATTGTAAATAATGCTCAACTTTACCCTATACTCAGAAAAGATTAAGGAGGAACGTTATAAATGTCAACGTGAGCCTTTGTTATTGACCGACTTCCCAAAAGACAAAGGTTTCTCAATTCGTCTGTATGTTTTTTTAATGTGTGTTACGGCATAACTCCGCCGCTAGTGGGCCGATTTTGATAATTCTTTTTTTTACAAATTTCTATAACCTACATTCCTATATATCGTAGAAAGTTACGTGCAAATAATCTTGCTCGTATAACGGAAAACTAGTGATTTTACTAAAAAATTGCGTATTTTACGTACTTATGTTTCGTAGTGCCTTTCAACTACTAACATTATAAATGCGAAAGATTAGATGGATGGATGTTAGTTAGAGTTTGTAGCCTAAACGGCTGAACGGATTTCGAAGAAATTTGTTATAGATGTAGAGGACAGTCTGAAAAAACACAAAGGTTACTCACTTTTGCTTTTCTAATTCCACGCGAACGAAGTTGCGGGCGAAAGCTAGTCTAAAATACTTACATCTCTATAAACCATTTGCTCGTGCCTATATTGCAGACAGTGCTCCTCGTGTTCCACGATGTCGTGGTCGTCCCTCGGGCAGACGCATTCCGGTAACACGGGCGCGGCCGGCACCTCCTCCTTCGTACACTTGCATTCCATTCTCAATACTGATATTAATGTACTTCCTAGCAAAATATCTCTAAATCTTTTCCGCGTTGTAAAGCTGTTCCAAATATAAAAAGCGTTGTTATCGGTTGCTAGGCAACGGATTGACAGATGACGGTATTTTTTCGTTGTCTATTCTTTTTTTTTTTAAATATTCGTCAATGAGTTTTAATTTATTTAAAAAATGAGATATGACTTTAAAAAGTTGACTTTTTAATTTTTATTGGAAAATATACGGACGGATGCTGTTAGAATTTCCAGCCAGAACGACTAAACGTATCGATGTTTGGCATTGGTTTAGAGAATATTCTGGAATAACACATAGGCTACATACATTTTTTAAATTACACACTGGCGGAATCTCTGGTATAAGCTACTAACTATAATAAATAGGGGAATAAATAAAATCGCTTTACTTTATCTTAGCATTTATTTTTGTGTAATAACGTCGAATACAAATCGCAATTTTCATATCAAATATTAAAAAAAATGCTATCAATCAGCATTAATAATAATTGTACATTATTAAAAGCAAACTGGACGCGGTACATCTTAGCTCGAATGCGTCTGATTGGTTAATACTTATAAAAGGCAGGCACTTTCTACTTAAAAAATATTATAATTATGCCTAAATACATCCATACACAAATTGTGATGAAAAGCAAATCATTCCTTGCCAAATACTGTTTTGTAACTTTTTTTAATATAATATGGCAATTATTACACTTCAGCTGCCTTCAAAAAATATTTTAAAATAAAAACGTATGCCTAAAATAAAAAAGAGCTAAAATATTGCAAAAAACTCCACTCATTTTTTACTTAAACATAAATACTAAATATACAATTCAAAATATGAAATGATAAAATCAATTTAATTAATAAAATTGACAATGCCATGGATATTCTAAATGCTATAATTAAAAAAATACTAAATTACTTGTCGAAACTTAATTACCTACAATAAAGTTTTTTTTTATCTATAAAAAATGAAATAAATAGGCACGTGACATTCGTAGAATATTCAAACATTTCCTTAATAGAAGTCGAATGCACAACACATATTGCCGTCTTTTTCTATCATAGAGTTTGAAAGAGACGGTAATATGTAAAAATATTGGTGTTCTACCTTTTTTAATAGAATTTCCCTTAATGATAAAAAAAAAACAAACTACAATCAAATTGCAGTAATGTTTTTTGAACAACTGCTATGGCTTCCATTTTTTGTACTGAATTAATTTTCCTCGGTCTTAAGTACGAATATTTTTTATAGTATTAAAAAGTATAAAAAAAGTATTTTTCAATAATACAAACACAATTGTAATGGTAAAAGTATTCAACTATAAAATGCATAATCTCTTATAAATTAACTTAGAACAGAAAATGTACAATAAACTAACAATTTTTTTTATATCAAAATGTGACCAATCAGTTATATATTTTAGCAAATAAAAGATAGCTTTTGCTATATATTCAAAGTTCTTATATTTTTAAAACTCGGGCAGTATTTAGCTGTCTCAAAGGAATATTTCGCATGAAAAAGTATCTAATAATTCGATGACACTTAAAAACATTTATTATGAACATGATTCTATACAATAAGAAAGTCAAATATAAAATCAGTATAAAGTCGATATTGTATCGGGTACAAGTATAAAAAGTGGATACAATTTGTATAAGATTGCTATGGGAGTGTGGGCGTGGCTTAGTGAATGTCGGTGGGCGCGGAGGGCGCGTTGGGCGCGGTGGGCGCGGGGGGCACCGGCACGGACAGCGGGGACCTCTGGCGGTCAAACATCTCGAGGATCAGCTTGGGGTCTGTTCCGGCCGGTACCGTTATCGTGCCCGTCTGCAGAGAACCCCTCATGAGTACCAACGTACGTTCTTGACTGCATTGCGTGACGGTCGATCGCTTTCTAAACCACACTTACTTTATGTTTCTTTTACTTGGTTACCATGACAACACGATTGAACGTCACAACATTGCGCAGTTAGTATACGGTAGGTATGTTAGCTCTGCATGCTAGCTCTGTGGCGGTTACCGAGCTTAGAATAACAAAACGAAAACAGTTATATCTACCAAAACATTAAAAAAATATTTAGTACGTTACTCGAAAAGTAATAGACTTTAAAAAAAATATTTTACCATCAAAAAGCTACGTTATAACTGACTAGCTGTTGCTCACGACATCGCCCGTGTTAAATTAAAAAATAATAAAAAACATAGACTATGTTACACACTGATAACGTAGCTTTTTAAGGGTGTAAGAATTTTTGTAAATCGGCCCAGTAGTTTTTGAGTTATTTCAATACATACAGATACAAATATTTCCTTTTCATATAATTAGTAAACATTATATAGATATATTTATGACTAGTTTTTTTTTTACATTCCATAATTTTAAGCATACAAAGCTAAACTAGGGTTCAATAAAACTATAGAGGTCTAATTTACTTCGGAATTTTACTAAGAAACTTAGTAACTTGACTTATAAAGTGTCACATATATACTAACATAAAGAGGAAAGATTTGTATTCATGGATTTTTGTATATATTGAAATAACTCAAAAACTACTGGACCGATATCAAAAATTCTTTCACTATTAAAAAGCTATGTTATAACTGAGTAACATAAGCTATAATTTTACTATTTCACACAGGCGAAGTTATTAGTAACCAGATATAAGTGTTTTCGTATCGTTATTTCCGGGATATAGAAGCAAAGTGTGGTACCTCAATGCGCGTGATGACGCC